AAATGTGAAAAACTTTCGAGGATTTACGATGCTGATGACCATTAAACGTGTCATCACAGTCTTGTGAAAAGGGTCCATACTGTAATCTATTAACCACACATAAAAACCCGTCTTTAAGTACCAGATATGGGTGTCATGCCATAACATATTTCTAATACGACTGACTTTGTATTTAATGTGAATTTAATAACAATATTGTAAGTTACTAATTATAACACTTTCATTTTACAGAGAGCAAAGAACATTTGCATTATCAAAGAACATTTTCATTTAGTCTAGCCAGAGTTCAGGCACTCTCAAAAACTCCCATTAAAATCACTGAAGATGTTTACACTGTGAAATGAATATCTTGTAGGCACATCTGCACTTTGTTGTTTCTGATGAGAGAATTCCCCAGAGAAATCAGTCAGGGAGCGAGTGAACAAAACACCGCGTTTCAGCGATGACTCATTTGAACATCTCTGATTGGCCATTGCATTCATAAGCTCAACAGAATCGTGTGTAATTGGTTGCTATACAAACGCGTCTGTCTCTGGCTCAGCGACAGCCAGCGAACGCAGATTTGAATTTAGCAGCTGATGATGTGCGCACTGAACGATCTAATCACACCTGTGCGACTGTATCAAATATAAAAACAGTTATTCGGCTATTTTTTGTCTTTTGGAAGCTGCATTAAAAATCCACTTGGCTCAGAAATCTGAGGGGGCACGTGCACAATTTCTATTACATGCGCAAAAGCGCTCCAGTTCTCAGCAGGCTTCGTAGGGCGAGGACTTGGCTAATGAATATTAATCACGTAACGTGACGTTTGCCTAATACGCATACGTGATTGGATGCAACTCAAAGGGCGCTAGACTGCTGGCGAATTGGGGAATCCTGCCATGGTGAAGGCTTGGTTCGTGAAAATTAATTTAGATACGTGACTGGACGCTCCAGGAGGGTTACCAAGCAACGTCTGGAGGACTTAATTAATATTCATAATGTAATCCTTCGCTTTAGTATCAGGATTCGTCGGTTCTCCTGCATGCTGAGCAGCCGTGGACACTACCAACGTCAGCTGCAGAGGGGTGGTCTTTCGTCCACGCTTGGTTGGTTAAACGTAAACACCTCGACCGAACAAAGATAGCGCAGCCGCTAACGTTACGTTGCTTTTAAAAATTAAGGGAAAGAGGCGCCGTGTAGCAGACGCGTTTCCGGCCGATTCCTTTGGGGTCTGTCACCCCTCCTACACCACGGTTGGGAAATTCCCTCCACATGTATAGTGATTTGTGAGCGGTAGGGAGCCCGATGGGGTTGAGTTCGCAGCTCGGGATTATGTGCTAGACTGGCGAGCGCAGTAGAGGAATAAAAGCTAGAGCTATATGGAAGAAGGTTTCTTTGGGAATACGCGGATTATCGTCACCAAGAAGGTGAGTTTTGTTGTCCTAACTTTAGTATTTCGTCTGCATGGGTGCCAGGGTTTAGTTCTCTTCCATTTTCCCAAAAAACTTATTCTACGTGGCAGCGCTGGCCCGCAGAATCACACACACACACACACACACACACACACACACACACACTCGCGCTTGACCAAAACACAGCAGTGTGTTTGCATTCTGCCTTGCAAATTTACCATGGTAACGATAGTTTCCACCAAGAAGCCAGTTACTACAGTTAATTTTACTATAGTAAAACTGTGGTCACTTGGCATTAGTCACCACTTTCTGAAATGTTTCACAACGAAGTGGCAAGATCCTGAAAGCGTCTTACTTTGTTTCACCGTGATATTTGCCACTGATTGTGGTAATTTTGGCGGAAACTACACGGATTTGAGCAGTAGAATCTTACCACAACCATGGTAAGTTTCTACTGCTCAAATCCGTGTTTTAGATCATACAACTACTTCTAGACCATAATATGGCATTCCCTGGCTATTTTTGGAGTAATGTGTTGGTACTTGGGTTGGTTTATAGCACCCAGTCAGCTCAATGGCCTACATAACCCTGGGGGTTATGTGGGGTTTGTCCAAGTTAAGGTCTGCTGTAATAAGACCCTTTGGATGTGTCTCAAAACCTGATGTGCTGCCTACCAAGACAGGGTTTTGGAGCATCGTAGCAGCATCATATGCATGTTTACTTCCATATGGGGTCTGAGAAACCCAGAGACCCCTTTTAGTATCTCATAAACATTCTTAATAATATAATATTGGGTATTGATATTGAACTTTGTGAGGACTAATTATAAACAAACTTTCATGATTCGTAAAACATGCCTCACAAGTCTGCCATGACAATATTATGTAAGTTTGAGATTTTGGAGACCTCAAATATTAAACATGAACACTAAATTTGTGTGGTTGGTGTACATTGGTAGAGGTCAGTTTTTTTTAAATATATTTTATTTATTTTTATTATTGTATTTTTTGACAATGTGTTGAAATTGACTCCATAACAATCAGTTAGATTTATAGATTAATTTTGAAATTACTATTTTAATTTTTACATGCGCAGCACAGGGTCCCCAAATCATCAGGAAGTGATGTCAATCTCGGTGGAACATGCAGGTTAATTGCATCACAACACAACATGAATCGGAAAAGTTTCATTTTTATTCTCCCTCTCTCTCTCTTCTTGTCTCTTTTGGATTCAGGAATGTTCACAATTTCCTCTTTGCGGTCAGGGCGGGTTTAATATTAGCCCAGTGCAACTCTACACCGACCGGTGTTTAAGGGTCTCACATTTATCCTCTCTTGTGTTACAGTGATTTTCTCTAAGCGCTGAAAATCTTTAATGCGTAAGTTTGAAGTGTAGGTCTCTGGAAGGGTTTATTCCCTCTTTCTGTTTCTTACCAGCAGGGGGATCGTTTCATTGGCCCCTGGAGAATAACATGTTAATAGATCAAATTAATTTTGAGTTTATTAAAAAGAGTTGTTAATCAGTTGTATTTTCTGGCTTTTGTTTTGCTTTTTAGCAACCTCAAATCGGGACTAAATCAATTTATGTGTTCAAAAATCGTTCGTAATAAGTTATGTTTATGTAATTTTATCATTTGAATCTCAAAGTGTTTGTGTTTTTTTTTTTGTTTTTTTTTACCCAGTGTAAGATTCCATCCTTCCAGTCGTACGTGTCAAATTGACTTTGTCATTGAAGATTGGTCAGTGTGTTTGCTTTGATGCGGGTTTGCCTGAGTCGATCTGTAGTCACATCCTGTGTGTGTTCTCATGTTGTGCCCTGAAGAATAATGAGGTCTAGTTCTGCTGGGCATAGTGTTAAATTTGCTCTTGTGTTTGTTTGTTTGTTGTTGTTTGGTGCCAGGAAGCATTTTCTGCTGTCCTTTTGTTTCCTTTCCTTTTTCTTTTTTTAACCTCAGGATGTTTTCTTTGCTGAGCTGCTCTTCATTTGTGTGTGTGTGTGTGCATGTTTGTGGGTGTGTTCATGAAGTCTTATTTGCCTGAAGGCAGCTAGAATAGATGTTCAAAAAAAGATTTCTCCCAAGTGAGTAAAGATTTTTCTGCCATCTCTGGTCTAACCCGCCCGTGTGTTTCTGGAGAAAATGGCTCATCTGATTAATCTAACTTGGAAATGTCTCTTAAAGAATGTTTTATGATTATGTATCTGGACTGTAAACACAAGGTTACAGGTTGAATCTGCATGCTGCCTAATTAATACTTTTGCGAGACATTTAAATCCAGGTATTGCTAGTGCTTTTAGTGTCTCATCAGTGTGACCTTCTCTGATCCTCAAGTGAATAATTTTTCCAAAAAGGTTGTCAAGTCACCTTTATTTATAAAGCTCTTTATACAATACAGATCGTTTCAAAGCAGCTTCACAGTAACAAACAGGAAAAGTAACAGAATCAATGATGCAAACTTTATCAGTTATGAGACAAAGATATTGAACTTCTTTCTGCACCTGCATGAGCATGTTTCATGATCTTACTCCTGAACATGCTGCGTGTTTGAAACCGTATCTCTCACATGACATGTTTTTTTGGTATAACTCTTTAATATTTTAAAAGAAAGCTTGCGTTCTGATTGGCCGTCTCGGTGGCAGTGTAGTAGTGGTAGAGATGGATTAGTTTACCGGCTCGCTTGGGTAGGTTAAGCTATTGTTTGTAGGTTTGTTGTTATTGCGTGTGCAGCGCCCTAGTCCTTTTAATGTGGTTTCTATGTAGTTCTTTGTGTTGCCTTTATTATTTGCCTCTCCAACAGCTGTGTTCTAGTGATCCTTGTGTAGTTTTATATGTTAAAGTTTGTTGCCTAACAGTTATATTGAATGGACGGAATTACTGTAAAAGATTTTAGTTAATATTGTCTCCGTATGAAATCATCTGACTTGATATTATTCATGGTTGCTCAGAATAACATGTATAAATAATGTTTAATGGTAAAGGCAATTCTTTGGGTTCAGTGTCTTGCTCAGTGGTACTGTTATGATGCCTGTCCAGAGTCAGCCGGTAGCCTTTGTCTTCACAGTCTGGATGCGGAATCATTAGGTTTTAAATATCGGTAGATTTTTAAAAAATGTTTTTGAAAGAATGCTTACTAAAGCTGCATTTATTTGATCCAAAATACTGTAAAAACCGCAATACTGTGAAATATTATTACAAAAAAAAAGGGATTTTATTCCTGTGATGTCAAAGCTGAAATTTCAGTGTCATGTAATCCTTCAGAAATGATTCTAATATGCTGATTTAATGCTTAAGAAATATTTCTTATTATTATCAATGTTGAAATCAGTTGTGGTGTTTAATATTTCTGTGGAAACTGTGATACATTTTTTTTTTCTTTTTTTGAATAAAGGTCAAAAGAATATAATTTATTTGAAATATAAATCTTTTGTAAATATTATAAATGTCTTTGTTACTATTGAACATAATCCTTTCTAAATAAAAGTATTCATTTTCTTCAAAATCTTACCTCAAACGTTTGTAGTGTACATAACAGATATAGATGTTTATGTCATCTGCTTTTTTATCCGATAGATTATTCCCTGTTATAATCATCTAATCATCTACTAAGTCTGTCTTTTATTTTGTCTTAAAGTCTTAATTAAAAAGAATCTTAATGCTTCAAAGACAAAGTTCAAAGGCAAAAATGACTCTATGATCTTTTTAGTAATTATTCAAACAGGTGTGGTTTAAAATGGTTTAACATGAAATTAGGTCATGATATTGGAAATCATATGTGTTTACTCCATCCCACAGCTCATCTAGCTCAAACTCATACAGTTTTTTTTTTTTTTATATATATGGTTAATGTCAAAATACAAAGAATATTTTGTCTCTCTCTGGTTCATTTAACTATCTTTTTATTTGCCTTAAATGTAATTTAAAAAAAGAATTAACTGCTGGATTTTTGCAAAACATGTTGTCGAAAGATCTGTCCTGATGTTTGCTTCTAAAAACACTACTACCAAGATTATTGTATTGTATATTATTAGTAATAAGCTGTATCATAGCTGGCAGAAAACATAAGTGTATTGAATAACCTCCAGCTGAACTGTTCACACCTTCCTCTTTTTTTTTTATTTTTATCATTTATTACATTCTTTTATTTTAGACTTTAAACCCTCCTTTGCCAAGGGCTCTTCCGTATCTTTTGTGTAAGGAGAACTTACTTGCTTTCTTCATTGAATTAAGAACTTTATACAATGGATTTAATAACAGGTTTACAGATGTGTTCAGATGATCCGATACCAAACTACTCCTAGTTGTGTCTTCTACTGCGGCATAGAGAAACGGTTCAGTGCATGTGAAAAGGGGAATGTGTCTGGGATTACAATCACACTAAATAACTGTGGACCAACAGTGTCTGAGCAAGTCTGGACATGTGAATTCCACCTATCAGTGGCATTTCCTTACCTCTCATACTTCCATGTTTGCTTTGTTTTTTACTGGAACTTTCTTAGTTCATTTTCCTTAACTTTGCTGGAAGGTTTTCTGTCTGCATGGGTTTTAGATGTTTCCCTTCTGAGAGGTAAAAGTTCAGTGGATGATGTAAGATGGTTTGTAAAAACTAACCCCAGCACTTCAGCACGTCTTTTAAGATAAGGTAAGATTTGATCCCCGAAGGCAAAACGAGGCGTTAGCAGGATGACATAGATGACAGGCGTAACATAGACCTTAATACTGTAGCAGATTATAACAGTCTGTGACTGGGACTTTATATGTGTGTGGGTTGTATTTGTCTCAAAAATTATTCAGGAAGTTTCTCCATCTTTTCAGCAAAGAAATGCCACACATAATGTCATGCATTTGTCACACATCGTGACAAATGTGGAATCGTGCAATCCTCTCTTCCTTTCTGTTTTCATCCTGCTCAGCAGTACCAGTTTAAAATGGCTTCAAAATGTAACTTTAATCAGTCACGTCATAGATTATATGATTTTTGGGCTGTTATTGAGCCCCTTTGGGCTGTTTGCCCACTTTCCTTTTAAATACTAATGTAGGCAATGTTTATAGAAACCTAAAAGTCAATCCCTTATGAACTCCTAACCATTATATGAAAAGCCAAAATCTACATCATTGTCATCTGATGTATGCATCTGAACGTTACACATCTGTAGTACGTGTAGCAGAGTGTGTGTGTGTGTGTGTGTGTGTGTGTGTGAGAATCAAAGGCCTCTATTGTTGGAATGAGAAGCAGATGTTGGGTGGAATTCTCCTGACTGCTGCACATTTTCCTCTTCTCTCTGTCTCTCGCTTATGCAAAGTCTACTCGCTACTCCATTTTGCATTTTGCCTGACATTTTTCTTAATGTACAAGTGCTTAAATTATTTCTTTTAATGTTACAATAAAACAAGCTTTAATAAAGGCCAGCCAAGTGGACTGAGAAAATGTCATAGCAGCGCATACACAGTTCCACAAACCACAAAGAATATTTTAATATCAGTTTATGGAGCCATATGGCAGTGTACTTGTGGAAAAAATTTAGTTTTGATGAAAATCATTTAAATTCAAGTTTAAAGTACTGTGGTTAACTTAGTTTTGGTAAAACTAAAAACAATTTTAATCTGATTCCAAGATGTTATTTTTTATTTATATTTCTGGCCCATTTTGTAGATAGTGAAGCAGCAGAATGTGATGGGAAAGTTACACAGGTCCTAATTAGTGCTTACAAGTTTAAGGTTTGTTGTAATCTACTTACATTTTGAGCTGACATTCAAATTTGCAACTTCAACTTGATCATAGTAAGTATATTTCTGCAAATGTATTTCATGTTAGTTATACGTACAGTGAAGAAAAAGTTGAGTTTGATCAGTGTTGAGCTTAATCAACTGGATGGTACACACTTGTGGTGCATATATATTAGGTTAAACATAATCTGGAATATTCCTTTAAATTTGAGAGATGAAGTTTGATGTTTATGTGTGTATTGGATATGACATATTTGTTGTCATTTTAGATGGAGTTCATTCATGATAAGAGATCAAAAAAATAAATCATGGTAATATTTCACTGTAACTTTCTCGCTTTGTCAGTTCAGCAGTTTCTGTAGGCCTGTACTCATATCACAGATACTGATAGAGGCAGAGAGAGAGATATCAGTCTGTTAGTGTTTCATGTCTGTGCAAGCAGATGTTATGTCCCAAAAATATCTAGAATCACAGAGAGAATTTTGAATCGAGATAATTTTGAAACGTGACATAAGTTTTTGTACTTTGACTGTGGTTGGATGAGAGAATTTAAAACAAAGACGTTACATTCTAGTTTAGCATGTTAGCTAACTAATCTGCAGAAAAGCTAACTTGGCCTGCAGATGAATAATATTCAAATTAATTTTGTTGTAGTGTTTGTCATGTTGTTATGCAGAATGTTTTCAATATTGATATGGTATTTTTTATTAGTAGAAGCTTTACATTAATCTAACAAATACATTAATTACGTTACATAACAAATGGAAAATTATTTCAACTTGTGTTTGCAGTGTGTTCTTTGTGCACCCACCCACAGCTATCCATCACTGTTTTCCTTGGTTTTTTTAATTCTGTTCTGTGGACAAGAAATCCAGTGCTGGAGTTCCTGTGTTTCTTACAAAATCCAGTAAATTATAGCTTTCTAATATTTATGTGAAATACTTGGAGAGTTGCCTGCCAGGATGGATGTCCAACAGGAACATTTTGTAGTTGTATTCTTGTTCAATTGATTTATTTCTGTCTTTCTCTCTTTTTCAGAGTCGGGCGCTGGGGCTGCTGTGTTTGTGTGGTGTGATTGTGTGTTGATCCAGGAGAAACAACTGGTTTGAAACAGTTGTGAGTCAGGTCTGATTGTGTGTGTGTGTGTGTGTGTATGTATGTATGTGTTTTTTTTATGTGTGTGTGTCTGAGTTATCTGATCCCATCGTGACTGGGAGGTACTCAGGGGTGGAGCTCCAGTGAGGGGCACAAATCTACAGGCTGCAGCCTCTCAAACATGAGCAAACTGACTTTCCACAATAACAAGACGATGCAGGACCGCCGGTGTGTGTGTTTGTTCCTCCCGAATGATGAAACGCTCAATGTAATAGTCAGCGTGAGTACAACTCCATGGACTCAATGACGCACACCATTGGTGATTGCTTTAAGACCGCACAGCTTCCATGTCATTTAAAAATAAATGGAAAAAATTTAATTGCAATTATCTATTTGCATCATATACAAAGATTGTTGTTTATGGACAACAGGTTCTGAACATGTCATTTTGGGTCCTGTTCTGAAGTTGTGGGCTTGCATTGGAAACATAATCTGTTCACAAATAAATATTTAAAAAATGTAGCTCTGTTTATTGCATAATTTCACAGTTTAGTAATAGTTTGAGAAGCAGCTTTTTAGGGCCAACGTTACAGACAGCAAAATAATATAAAAAAAATTCCATTGATAAGTGAAACCTGTTTCCCATTCCCCATCAATATATCCTTTCTCTCTCTAATACATCTGTTCTTTTCTCTCAGGTTAAGGCTGTGTGTCAGGAGTTGTTGGTGCAGGTCTGTGATCTGCTCAGGTTGAAGGACTGCCACCTGTTCGGCCTCAGTGTTATTCAGAGTAAGGCCAAAAACACTGCAACACACACACATACAAACGGGCTTAAAACAGCTTTATACTTTCTTACGCTCTGACTTGTCTATTTAAAACCAACATAACATACTTTACACGGCTCTCTGTACTTGATTCTGATTTGATTTGTCAGTTCTGTCACTGTGTTATATTACGGGTGCTACACTGTATTGATTATCCCAGGCATCCAGGGTTTTGGTTCTTGTGTATCACTCTGTGGTGTTTTTATTCTCATGATAAAATAATTTCAACTCATATAAAATTTGTATGTCTGTTTATTCATTTATTTGGTAAGTAACCATGCAATTATTTGGGAAATATACAGTCTGCTGGTTATTATTATATTTTCTGTTCTTGACCACCCTGTCAGGGTTTTATATAGCGGAAATTACTGACTTTTTCCCATTTTACATTACATATGCTATATACACAAACATTAAAGATCTAAATGCATGTGTGTTTCAGTGTGTTATAATGTGCTTTTTTTCCTAGACAATGAACACATATACATGGAACTGGGACAGAAACTGTCTAAATATTGTCCAAAAGAGTGGAAACGGGAAGCTAGCAAGGTATCACACACACAGGGTTTTGTTTTCTTGAAATATATATATATATGTATATGTGTGTATGTGTGGGTTTTTTTTTGGTGCACATTTTGACTGAATTCTTGCCAACTGCAGGGAATTGACAAGTTTGGACCTCCGATGATTGTTCACTTCAGAGCACAGTATTATGTTGAAAATGGCAGACTTATCAGGTGAGTCACACGCATGTCTACATTCAAAAGTTTGGGGTCAGTAGGATTAAATGCTTTAAACTTATAAAAAGTGACAGTGAAGACTTTTACATTATTACAAAAAATCGATTTCCAAATGTTTTCTTTTTATTTATCAAAGAATTATGAAAAAATATCACAGATTCCACACAAATATTACGCAGCACAACTGTTTTCAACATTGATAATAATAAGAAATGTGTCTTGATCACCAAATCACTTTCTGAAGGATCATGTGACACGTAAGACTGAAGTGACTGCTGAAAATTCAGCTTTGCTATCACAGAAATAATTTTGCTATCACATTTTAAAATGTATAACAATAGAATTTTTTTTTATTGTAATAATATTTCACAATATTACTGTTTTTACTGTATTTTTTATCAAATGAATGCAGCCTCCTATGAGACTCCTATCAAAAACACAAAAAGTCATCCTGACCCTAAACCTTTGAACAGTAGTGTATACATACTAAACGTCTATAGAAAAAATGAAAATGTTCTATGTCTGTCTGTTTTAGTGATCGCGTGGCACGGTATTATTACTATTGGCACTTGCGGAAGCAGGTACTGCAGTCTCAGTGCATCCAGAGAGAGGAGGCTTATTTCCTTCTGGCTGCATTTGCGCTGCAGGCTGACCTGGGAAACTTCAAACGGAACAAACACTTTGGTGCCTATTTCCAGCCGGAAGCATATTTTCCCTCTTGGGTATGTCTGCACAGCACCCCATTAAACTGCTTCCTGATGAATCATTATGCTGATCAAGCCTGTTAAATGTGCATATGCTCCGACTGCCCTCTGTGTGTGGTTTATGGGCCGCACTGTGCTGTCCCCGAATTTAACAGAGCCTGTTGTAAAAAGACGCTTTATTCATCATCATGTAGAGGATTGAGGTTAAAAATAGTCAAAAGCTTTTAAAGAGAATCTAGGGTGCATTAGCTTTAGGCTTGCTGAGCTGTGCTATCATCTGGATACACATGGTGTGAGACACTGCTTTACTGCAGGATGGTGCAGTCAGAGATAGACTGTGCTGTTGAACTCTTGAGAGATTAGGGATAGCCCTGACAGCACTGGATGATGATTTTTGTGTTTTTATGAATGTTAAGTGTTCAGGGACATCACCATAGCCAAGGTTGGCAACTAGGATTATATCTGCTGAATGCCAGTCTTATTTTTTTTTTTTTAGCAGTTTTAGTTGCTTGAGTAGAAAACCAAACAAATCAGCAGTGGTTTAACATTAACATTTTGCCACACCTGCCAATGGGTGAACTGAGAAAATGTACCTTAAAACTGTACTTTTCTAAAAGTAAAGTCACTGCCATTCAAAAGATTTATGTTTTTTTTTAAAGAAGTCTAAAATACAGAAAGGAATGTAATCTTGTGTAGTCTTATTACAATTTAAAAATTGTTTTCTATTTTAATATACTTCAAAATATAATTAATTTCTGTGGTGGCAAAGCTGAATTTTCATCCGCCATTACTACAGTCTTTAGTGTCACTTGATCCTTCAGAAATCATTCTAATATGCTGATTTATTATCAATGTAGGAAACAGTTGTGCTGCTTAAGTTTTTTGGAACCTGTGATACTTTTTTTCAGGATTCTTTGATGAAAAAAAAAAAAAAATTAAAGAACAGCATTTATTCAAAATATAAATCTTTTCTAACAATACAAGTCTTTACTCTCACTGTTTATCAATTTAACACATCCTTGCTGAATAAAAGTATTAATTTCTTAAAAAAAAAAAGTACTTACCCCAAACTTTTGAACGGTAGTGTATATTGTTACATAAGATTTCTATTTTAAATAAATGCAAGTTTTTTTTTTTACTTTTTATTTATTTTTAATGCAGTCTCTATAACATGATTTTTAAAAAATCTGTACATAGTAATTAAAAATAACTGGAAAATCATGTAAATTTATCAGTCAAAAGGTGTGCTTTATTATTATTCTGGTTCTATCTTTTCCAGGTAATTGCGAAGAGAGGATGTGACTATATTCTCCGTCATATTCCAAACATGCACAAAGAGCAGTTTGCTCTTACGGCATCAGAAGCCCAGCTGAAATACATAAAGGAAGCTGCACTATTGGACGACGTGACTGTTCATTATTACCGCCTTTACAAGGTCAGAGAAGAACTATTGACTGTGTGTGTGTGTGTGCGCGCATACAGGCTGATTTTTCAACATAATGTGATTTTTATTTTATTTTATTTTTTTCCCCAGGATAAGAAAGAGCTGGAGGCTTCTTTAACTCTGGGACTGACCTTACGTGGGATTCAGATTTTTCAGGTATGCTGTTTGTACACTTACTGAATGAGGTTATACAGCAAATTGTATAAAATCCAGCTCTTTCAGATAATACATTGTGCATTTCTATGTATGATGGTTACATACATTTTTTTCAGAATGTGGGAACTGTCAGGCAACTCTTGTATGATTTTCCCTGGACCAACGTGGGGAAACTAGTGTTTGTGGTCAGTGTTACAGTGCTTTATTAGTATGATTTAAAGGTGAAGTGTATAATTCTGTGCCATTAGGTGTCAGTGTTTACACCTTTTTATTGGAATCAACCTTTGACTCATTTCCTGTCCACAGGGGAAGAGGTTTGAGATTCTTCCTGATGGTTTGCCTTCAGCCAGGAAGCTCATCTACAATACAGGCTGTCCTCTGCGCTCACGACACCTCCTACAGCTACTCAGCAACAGCCACCGATTGTATATGAACCTACAGCCTGTGCTGAAACAGGTTCGACGACTGGAGGAAAATGAAGGTATGTTGAGAATATGCATGACAGATTTGCTGGAATGGTAACATTTCTTAAGATAATAATTGAAAGTTAAATGAAATCTGTGATATACAGATAAATCAAGCTAGGTGATAAAATTAACAAATAAAAAATGAATGGCATATACACTTTAAAAATTATTTTTATTTTTAAATCATACACTGACTTTACAAACATGGACACATTAGAATATGATAAAAGCCATACTCAGCAGAATGAAATTCTTTTATTTTATTATAATTCCTTTTTTTATTTGTGATGTCATGGAAGTGTTATTGTTTTGTTTTACAAAGGACCTAGAGCGTATGGTTGACATTATTAAACTATGTGTGTTCTCAGAAAAGAAGCAGTACAGGGAGTCATATATCAGTGATGCTCTGGAGGCGGACATGGATCATTTGGAGCAGCGTTCGCGTGCCAGCGGCAGCAGTGCAGGCAGCACGTCACGACCCAATCCCTTTTCACGACACTCCACCACAAGTCATGGCAGCTCCCGTACATCCGGCATCGACACTGACAGTTTCCGAACACCTACGAACACACCCCACCGACCGCTGAGAACACACTCATCTTCCAACACCAGTCATGCCAGCACACACACGTCTGGCATCGAGAGCAGCAGCAAGGAGCACTGCCTGGATGAGGACGGTAGGAGACACACACACAGATGAATATGAGACTTCTCTGATAGCCAATTAATTGTACCTCACAGGCTCATTACATTAGTAATAACAGTATCAATAATAAATGCTGTATGATTAAATGGGTGCACTGATCAAATCTCAGAAGGGTTTCTGCGGGCCCTTAAAAAGTCTTAGATTTAGTTGTATTAAATCTAAGGCCATAAAAAGTCTTAAATGGCTTTGTGTGCTGCGGTTACCGGGGAAACAGTTATATTTCTGCAGTTCTGAAAGCTCCACCTGCTGGCAGAGAATGGATGTGCATTTCCAATAAGGCCATCTGCTGTTTTTGTTGAGACCAAAGCAAAAATCCACCCATATTTTTATGCAGCAAACACATAAATGTGAACCGGTGGCTCGACAAGAAGCTAATGCCAATGCATTATAGAAATCTAAACAATTAAGACACTAAGATATAGTTATATGTTATTAAATTAATATAATAATTGATTGATAATAATTGTTTGAATTAATATAATTGATACTTTTGAATACCTTTTCTTATAAATGGTTTAAAGGGTGAAATGTGAAAGGCTGAAATTTTATTTGTGTAGGTCTTAAAAAAGGACTTAAAGTCTTTTTTTTTTTTTTATTCTGCAGATACACTGCTCATTCATACTAATCATACTACTGAAGCAGTAGCAGTTTCAGTGCTCAGAATTTCTGTGTGTTTGTGTGTTTCTTCAGAGATTGAGATGTTGGTTGATGATCCGAGAAGTTGTGAAGATCTTCACGATTTAGATCTCAACCAGGAGCTGTGTATTCATATCACAGAGGACATGCTGTCAGCACAGAACAACGGATGCTCCGGTATATACAAGCATAGATTATATTATATTATTTAGAAATCTTTTTTTTCCAGCTAGGAAGCATTAAATTCATCAATAGTGACAGTAAAGACATTTATAATGTTGCTTAAGTAGCACAACTGTTTTCAACATTAATAATAAGAAATGTTTCTTGAGCACCAAATCAGCATATTAGAATGATTTCTGAAGGCTTGGGTGTATCAACCACGCCTGTTGCTGACAGGTGGATAAATTCAAGCTGTGTCATCTCTGGAGGCAGACATTAGCTGTAGATTGACCTTTTAGTGCCACTTTTCCAAGTCAGTTTGTCAGTCAAATTCTTGCTGTCCTACAGCTGCCCAGGGTGAATGAAGGACTTTGTTAATTGATGATTTGCTCTTTCAAAACTGTGGTATTGAACAGGGTTTAGTAAGAACATTTTGAAATGATAATTTTTCAGGCCTGGAAAAGTCATTGGAGATTGCTAAATGTCCAAAAGCCATAGCAATTTATGCTCCACTCTAAAACATTTCATTGACTAGAAATTGGTCTTTTTGAGTGCTTTATAAAATGTTATATACTGGATTTTTAAGAATCCAGTTCCAGTGATAATGGATGGCTGGAAAAGTCATGGAAGAGTCATGAAAATAATCTTAGGAAGTCACTACTTAAAAAGTATGAGTATCCTGTCGTTTTAATGGACAAGTACCTGAAAGCGGTGGAGTTTGAATCGACAACTAAATTTACTGTACACCCTAGCCTGACCCTAGTGACCTTCAAATGTCTGATGGGAGAAAATTATTAAGAATGCATGTGTTTTGTATATGTTTGTGCATTTCAGGGTTAGTGGTGAAGGAAGTCAGTTCTTCCACATCCAGCTCATCAGAGACCGTAGTGAGAATGAGGGGTCAGAGCATCGAATGTCTTCCCCAGGTGCACCTATACACACACACGTTTACACACAACACGTTACAGCTGTTAAATGACACCGTCTCAGCCGCTGAAGTTAAACCAAGGACATCCACTCTGCATTTTGAGCTGCATCATTCTTCTGTTGAGTAATCATGTAATCTCTTTTAACAGTGCTGGTAACCCCACTTCCTCTTAAAAGTATTTGTTTAGGGCAGCCTTACCCTACACCCAACAGCATTGTCGTTTCTCATCTGTCAATTCATGTGAGTGTACAGCTAACCGCTCTTGAGATTTTAGGGTTAGTTGAGAGTTAGTGTAGTCTGTGATTTCTGTTTTAATGCGGCTTGTTTGTTTCCTTTGTGCTGACATGTTTTCTTGTCTTTGTTTAATTAATATAATAATTGATTGATAATAATTGTTTGAATTAATATAATTGATACTTTTGAATACCTTTTCTTATAAATGGTTTAAAGGGTGAAATGTGAAAGGCTGAAATTTTATTTGTGTAGGTCTTAAAAAAGGACTTAAAGTCTTTTTTTTTTTTTTATTCTGCAGATACACTGCTCATTCATACTAATCATACTACTGAAGCAGTAGCAGTTTCAGTGCTCAGAATTTCTGTGTGTTTGTGTGTTTCTTCAGAGATTGAGATGTTGGTTGATGATCCGAGAAGTTGTGAAGATCTTCACGATTTAGATCTCAACCAGGAGCTGTGTATTCATATCACAGAGGACATGCTGTCAGCACAGAACAACGGATGCTCCGGTATATACAAGCATAGATTATATTATATTATTTAGAAATCTTTTTTTTCCAGCTAGGAAGCATTAAATTCATCAATAGTGACAGTAAAGACATTTATAATGTTGCTTAAGTAGCACAACTGTTTTCAACATTAATAATAAGAAATGTTTCTTGAGCACCAAATCAGCATATTAGAATGATTTCTGAAGGCTTGGGTGTATCAACCACGCCTGTTGCTGACAGGTGGATAAATTCAAGCTGTGTCATCTCTGGAGGCAGACATTAGCTGTAGATTGACCTTTTAGTGCCACTTTTCCAAGTCAGTTTGTCAGTCAAATTCTTGCTGTCCTACAGCTGCCCAGGGTGAATGAAGGACTTTGTTAATTGATGATTTGCTCTTTCAAAACTGTGGTATTGAACAGGGTTTAGTAAGAACATTTTGAAATGATAATTTTTCAGGCCTGGAAAAGTCATTGGAGATTGCTAAATGTCCAAAAGCCATAGCAATTTATGCTCCACTCTAAAACATTTCATTGACTAGAAATTGGTCTTTTTGAGTGCTTTATAAAATGTTATATACTGGATTTTTAAGAATCCAGTTCCAGTGATAATGGATGGCTGGAAAAGTCATGGAAGAGTCATGAAAATAATCTTAGGAAGTCACTACTTAAAAAGTATGAGTATCCTGTCGTTTTAATGGACAAGTACCTGAAAGCGGTGGAGTTTGAATCGACAACTAAATTTACTGTACACCCTAGCCTGACCCTAGTGACCTTCAAATGTCTGATGGGAGAAAATTATTAAGAATGCATGTGTTTTGTATATGTTTGTGCATTTCAGGGTTAGTGGTGAAGGAAGTCAGTTCTTCCACATCCAGCTCATCAGAGACCGTAGTGAGAATGAGGGGTCAGAGCATCGAATGTCTTCCCCAGGTGCACCTATACACACACACGTTTACACACAACACGTTACAGCTGTTAAATGACACCGTCTCAGCCGCTGAAGTTAAACCAAGGACATCCACTCTGCATTTTGAGCTGCATCATTCTTCTGTTGAGTAATCATGTAATCTCTTTTAACAGTGCTGGTAACCCCACTTCCTCTTAAAAGTATTTGTTTAGGGCAGCCTTACCCTACACCCAACAGCATTGTCGTTTCTCATCTGTCAATTCATGTGAGTGTACAGCTAACCGCTCTTGAGATTTTAGGGTTAGTTGAGAGTTAGTGTAGTCTGTGATTTCTGTTTTAATGCGGCTTGTTAGTTTCCTTTGTGCTGACATGTTTCATTGTCTTTGTTTTATTAGATGGCGATGGGCAGGAAGGGCCAGAGCTCCACAGACCGGCACAGCCAATCACTTGATGATGTTCGTCTGTTCCAGAGGAACTGTCAGGAGTGGGCGGAGCTTTGCCAGGACACCGCACATAGCTATACGTTCGGCTGCGAGCCAGACCTCGGGGACACGGTCGGCTGTGGATACCAGGGACTTGCAGATCAGTGCGCTGGCATCCGGAATAACCAACATGCATTTCCCATCAAGAGAACCAGCAAGTATTTTTCTCTGGATCTGGACAGAGAAGATCTGACCACAGAACACTTGACCACAGAAGCAGAACCAGAGTTTGTGGTGTAAGGCAGAGAGAATTAAAAAGAGCCCCAGAACAAATTAAAAGGATAGTAAACGGAAAAACAGAAATTCTGTTATTTACTAACTGTCACGTTGTTACAAACCCAGCTTGCTTTCTTCTGTGGAACACAAAAAAATTCTGATGACTGTGCTGGTTGCACTTTTTCATGCTGGTACAATAAAAAAGGATGGAAAAAAGTGCCATAAAAGTAATTTTCTGTGCTATAGACCTTAGTCAGGGTAGTGACATTTTATTTTGACAGGAATGAAAATGAGGTTGCAAGGGATAAAAGTACAGTATGTTCAATGGACTGTACTCTTATTTAATAACATTCAAAAGGACTTTTAAAAGACAAAAACTTTTAAAAGTTGTGAGATCTAGGACATTTATACAGTGTTCCATTGTGAAAGTCTAACACTTACAGCCTCGTTTTCATCCATGTCTACCCAAAAAGTAAATTCAGTTATCATTTACACACTCTAATATTTTTCCAAACTTGTATGCATTTTCTTCCCTTCTGCTGATCACAAAAGAGGATATTTTGAAGAATGTTGATAACCAAACAGTTTTGGTTCCTATTGATTTCCATTGCATTTTTTGTCCATATAATGGAAGGCAATGGCAACCAAAACTGTTTAGTTGCCAACATTCTTCAAAATATCTTCTTTTGTGTTCCACAGAAGAAAGTCATACAGGTTTGAAATTACATGAGGGTGAGTAAATGATGATAAAATGTTTACTTTTGGGTGAACTATCAATTTAAATTCAATATGTTATCTACCCTGACTAAGGTTTGTATTTCAAATCTTCTAAAGCCACATAATAGCTTTTATGGATGAATGGTGCTACTTTTATGTTGCTTTTTGTAATTTTTTTTTTTACAGGTTTGACAGCACTGGCTACCATTTAATTTCATTTTATGGAAAAGAGCAGTGCTAAACATCTCCTTTTGTGTCCCACAGAAAATAAATTACACAGAATTGTAATGACATTACGCTGAGTAAATGACACAATTTTTCATTTTTAGGTGAACTATCCCTTTAAGGTAATTTAGTACATGTGTGCATGTGTATCCAAAACTAGCAAGATAATCTGCAATATCCTAATGCCAAAATACTAAAATCTAGAAAAATCTGCCTTACCAAAGTATCCAAAAGATTGCGTGTCTGTGTCTGTGTGTGTGTGTGTGCTGCCCTAAATAAACCCTCAGTGCCTTGAATTCACTATGCAGGTTCTCAGAATATAAAACTAAAGTTTCTGCACTCCTGTTTACTTCCACCCTCATCTCCAAGGAAACGCCCCAGTCTTGTCTCCAAGAATAACACTAAACCTAATGAGCTTTTTGGGATTGTGGTAACTGAATCATGTGAGCATCATAATCAGAGGGCCCAGTGCCGGGTGTGCCGCCCCGCAGGATGAATGACCGATGGGATTTCAGGCTGCCAAGGCTCTTGATTTAGAGACATTTGCACACAGCCGATACTTTGCTGATCAAGGGGGGAAAAAATCAGTCTTCCATGGACTTTCCTTTAGAGTTTCCCATTTTCTTTATTCATATGATAACTTTGTTTATTTGTCAAACTGGAAGTTATTTTCTTTGTTGTTTTATAAAAAATGACTGCTGTGTGTGTGTGTTTTAATGGTGTGTTGCCTGTCAGTATTAAGCTGTTACTGGGAGACAGTATTAGAAACCTTATGTAAAGGTTGCAACATGCAATTCTTCCATTTAAACAAAAAAGAGTGTGTGCACACTCAGTTCAAAAGAAGGTAGACACTAAACATGAAGAATCAGTGCAGATAAACCCACTTCCAATGAAAAGCTCCTCCTCTTTGCATGGGTGGTTTGGATGAACAGCACTTAAAAGCTCATGTGCATGTGGGCACTCGTGCGTTCTGTTGAACACTAGTAGAGTACCTATAGATTCCCTCACCTATCTTCACATTCATCTCTCCGCCCCTTTGAAAAGCAGCAATGAATTCGAAATGGCCAAGCCATCTAATAATAATTTTGGTTGCTGTTGGAGTTCATGGTGACTGAACACTTGCATCGGTTCTGCGTGCAACCGATCATACATGGGCTCCATGTACTGTTTACTCTTTGTGTCTGCAGCTAGACCTTGTCCTTTCTGTGAAAGGAATTCCCTATGTGAAAATGAAATGATTATTTTCCCCAGTTCTTTTGCAGACCCATTCCACTCATTCGCGCTCTCATGAAAGTGTATTCTGTGCCTTGCAGGTGCCAAAGTCCACAAATGTTTGCAATAAAAGGTACCTTCATTAGTAATTAAATCTGTCTTGTATTGTTTTTTGTCTGCAGCACTTTAAAGAAATTTACTTCATAAGTGCTCCATGATTCGTTCTTTCCTGATGATGTTCATGAATAACACCGTAATTAATATAGGTTACAGCAGTTTCAAGGTTCTCAAATGTGATTAGACAATCCTGTTGAATCACATTTAATCATATTTAATTACCCTTTTTTTTTCTTTTTTTTTTACAATTACCAATAATTTCTGTTGACGTTTGCACTTTCTTTTGTTTGTTTTATTCTTTTATTTGCATTACTTTGCACTTTTGTTCTTCTTCAATCAAAGGAAAAAATTTAATTGTGTACAGATCCTTGCAACATGGGGCCGTGCATTATCATGCTGCAACATGAGGTGATGGTCGTGGATGAATGGCACAACAATGGGCCACTTTTAGCAGCAATAATTTGAAGTAATCATTTTCTGTATGACTTTATTAGTCTCTCACATCGTTCTGGAGGAGTTTTGGCTCACTCTTTTTTCAACATTTCTCGGGTTTATTGAGGTTTGTGGGCATTTGTTTATGCACAGCTCTCGCCACAGCATTTC